GTTTTGAGGGAATGTAATTGAAGAATTATTTTTGTGGCAACATATTTATGCATAAAAATCACTCTTTTTCTCTCTCTCTAGATTTTTTCCCCATTTCATTTTCTGTCCTAGACAAATCTTAAAATCTCTTGTTCGAATTGCTTCCATGTCGAAGCTTAGATTGTCGGATTAAAGAACCTTCTCTTTCGCATACATGCTTGTCTGGCTCTCTCAGGAAATCTCTCGCCGATCTCCGAAACCCTTATTGTCTTCGTGTAATGATATGTCCCCCCCCCCCCTTTTTGATATTTAATCCGTTCTTTCTTTGTTGGCTTGTTCGATGATATTTATTTGGATCTTGGCTTGATTATTGCTTTTCTGCCTCACTCAATTGGTGATTTTGTTGAATGATTTTGATCCATGCGAGGGTTTCTACTGTTCATACTCATGATGATTCTGCTTTTTAATCTTCTTATTCATGCTCTCCTATGGAAAAAAAAACTAGTTTTAGTTGTGTGAGTAATGAACACGTTTGCCATTTCTTGCATTAGTTTCTTCGCCCTTACCACCCTTTGTTTGAAAGGAGAAAACAAGTTCTGGTTCCATATTACAGGTGTTCTGTATCGAGTATGTCGCGGTCCAGCAGCATAATGGAGGAAGGAAAAGTTGCTCCTTTCTCCAAGGACATGGATTTACGAGCTGTCCAGTCTTCTGGAGCATCGATATCTTCCTCACCTGCTGAGGTGACAGAGGATCATAGAAGTAATCAGTTGGTGCTTTATGATTCTAAGGGGAATGATACTGAAGAAGAAGAAGAAGTCCTACCTATCCAATCTCATCCTCCTTCATCCAAAAGAGAGTCACCTTCCATTGGGGCTTTTACGGTCCAATGTGCCAGTTGTTTCAAATGGAGGCTCATGCCTTCGATGGAGAAGTATGAAGAGATTAGGGAACAACTTCTAGAGAACCCTTTCTTCTGCGAAACAGCTCGTGAGTGGAAACCAAATATGTCTTGTGATGTTCCTGAAGATATTTCTCAAGATGGAACCCGTCTCTGGGCTATCGATAAGCCTAGCATTGCTCGCCCACCTGCTGGCTGGCAACGTCTACTGCGGATTAGAGGTGAAGGAGGTACCAGATTTGCTGATGTGTATGTTCCTTTGACCTCGTTACTCTTCTCCCACCTGTGTCAAATCACTCTTTCCTCTTTACCAAGCTTTACTTATAATTCTTTTTGCCTTGTCTTTCAGTTATTATGTTGCTCCGTCAGGAAAGAAGCTTCGATCAACTGTGGAGGTCCAAAAGTTAGTCTTTCTATCACTCCATTTCTACTTTTCTTTCCTTTCTCGCAATCCCACAACATTTTTAGTTTTCACAACAACAAAGTGCTTCGTATTTGACAAAAACGCCAATACATTGATTGATATATACTCTTGCTATTTCCTTATTTAGGATAATATTTAGGTCTCTGTGTTTCCTTTTCCTATAGTGGTTTGCTTTTAGTTTTGAGTATTCATCCATACTAAAGAGAGTTTGTAGGTAGTATTAGTTTTCAACCGAGGAAAAACATTCGTTCGTTTTGGGTTTGATTTTTCTTTGAGGATGGCTTTTGGGTTTTCCTTTGTTAGTGATCCTTTGCGTTTAACATTGATCGAAAGGTTTCAATGCAACTCGCAGATTGTCTCTTTTAAGAGAAAAGAATCACATACTAGAATTAAACCTAAAAATGCTTACGTAACTGAAAATCTACACCTTATAGAACTATGTTCTGTCCCTCAGCCTAACCCGAAAAACCTCCAAAGCACTCTTTAGCTTGGATGAGTCTAATAACCAAGATTGTTCCCTATATATATTAAAACGTAATAGTAAACATACTACATATTTTTCTAAATCAAAAATAAAGTTCCTAATCTGTAAAGGGGAAAATCATAACTAAAAGAATAGGTATCTGTGTCTTACCGTATTGACCAAACATTGTGTGGTTATATCTAAAGTTAGGTATTGATACATAATAAACCCTTTCATGTGTTTTGTTTACTGAAAAAAATACGCAATGCCAAAATATTAGTTGAAAGCATTTGTTGCCAGTAACATATAGACAGCTTCTTTAAACCCCTCATTGATGTCTTGCAGGTACTTGAACGACCACCCACAATACACAAGAGAAGGGGTGAAGCTTTCACAGTTCTCGTTCCAAATCCCAAAACCGCTGCAGGACAACTATGTGAGGAAGCGCCCTCGACTAATGGAATCCAGCGATAATGCAAACACCCCTGCAGCTACTGAAGGTATGTTGTTTGAGTTCTGACTACTTGTGTGAGTTGGAAACCTGTACTACAACTTTGTTCTCTACACCAGCCTAATCTTTGATAATGTGATTAATGTGTACCCATGCCGATAAGATAGGTGGCTTAGGAAACTTATCAAGAAGAAAAGTCCTTTGTGTCATGGCAACGATTATCATTTCCTATCAAATCCAGCTATTACAGTTTTCTAACATTTGGATCGTCTTGTTTTCTTCAGCTAATCCACTGACATGGATATCCCCAGATGACCATACAACGTTGCAGCTAGGTAAGCCAACTGAGCCAAGACTTTACGATTCACATCATCCATCCTCGTAAAAGACAAGAACATCAGAACAATCGACCTTTGGCTTCAATGATGATCTTGCCAATAGATGAAACCGAAGATCTAATTTAGCTAGATAAGACTGAACTATCTACTGGTGGTTTTTGATCTTCTCTGGTATATAACTTCTTTTCTCTCTTCGGTGAAAATAGAGAAAATATTTTGTTTTTTGAATCGGGTATATCGAAGAAACCGAGTACATGTGGTTAGCTTATTTTGTGTGTACCATCTTACTTTATTTTGCATAGTAAGCTATTTATAGGCATTTCTATGAAGAGGATGGGTCGTTTTGGCTTTTATTTCCAAATTACTTGATTTTTATGGTCGTTGAAGCTCATGTCAAATTCGATGGATTGCCAAAGGTAGTTAACTGAGTTCAACCATGATCTCTACTATTTAGTAGACAAAACAAAAAAATAAAATATAACTCTTACTCGAGGGTGGTGATCCAGCCAAACGCGTAAAAGCTTATCTCATACCCAAAAAACCCTATCCACCGTTTGAGAGAGAGAAAAAAAACTCTATCCACCGTTTGAGAGAGAGAAAAGAGAGTTTTTCTTATTGACAACTCTGGCGGCTTTCATAGCGCCGGAGTTGTGTTTTTGTTAATTTGTATTTCATATAGTTATGTTAGTTACAAATTGAAGATCTTATGTGATTTTTGCCTTTTTTTTCTTTTCTAGGATGGGTATTCTTCTCTATTAGTTGACGTTAAATTGGCGAAAAGATGGATGACCTAGATCCAGAAAAATGATGACTCTAGTATTCATTTTAGTTTTTTCGGAAACTATTAAAAAGTACAAAGGAAGATGGAACTCTTGTGGGTGTGATCGAATAAATGAAATTCTTCAAGATGGTTTTATATCTTCAAACGGCTATTCATGCTATGAAAACGATGAAGTAGATTTGATGCTCTATTATCTTCCAAATTCTATTGAATTGTGTTATGTTTTTGATTAAGATTTAGTTGTGTTTCTCTGGTTTTTTTTTTTTACGATCTTTTGGTTGTTGATTCATTAGCCTATATTGATGTGCATGGAATGGTTTCGCTTCTCTTTATCCGTTAATACTTTTTGGTAAACGGTATTGTGGGTTGATTTTATGAAATAAAATTTTTTTCAGTGTTAAAAAAAAAAGACATCTATGCAATAAATTGATAGACATTTAAAGAAGGGAGAATTTCAAAAGTGTCATTTTTAAAGAATACATTGACATACTAATTTATGCAAAATTAATGAAACAGCATGATTTATACAGAACAAGAAAACTTAGTTACATTTTAAGTTAAAAGAAAACCTAATAATTGATTTTAGGGGAAAAAATACCGTTAAGTTACTCTTTTACATATCATAAACTATTTAATTACGACTTTTGCT